AACTGCTGTATGGTGAACCATGTAGGAACCTGAAGTTCAACAACAGTGAGAGAGCCTCATAAACTTGCTTTGAAATGTATGTAAACCCAATCGCCAAAATATCATAATCTTTAATATGTTAAAGAAATGTCAAAAGTCATTTTCCATATTTTCAAATCTGCAGCTTCAATAAAATATTACCTGGTGATTCTGCTATGAAGAGCCTTGTTCAGGCATTTCTCAATGTCTGTTAGGGTTTAAAAATCTTTGTGTTGCTTCGGATAGAGTAGTACAGGATTAAAATACAATTTTATTGATGCCTGGGGAGATTCACTTTTTCTACTTGTCTTGGTGACTATACATACACTTTAAAGTAGAACTGAAGTCAAAACTTTTTTTTAACTTTTGGATAGAGTAAGGGAGGGTTACAACCACTTTCAGCTTTTTATTTGTCATCTATGTCCCATTGGGGAGATTTCCCTTCATAGTTAATAGGGATGCACCGATACCTTTCAGATACCAGTGCCGATACTTGGCATTTTCACGAAAACTACCAGGGTTGCAGCGGTTGCAGCTGTGACCTGGCTCTGGCGCTCCACCACTGTCCTGAAATCATTAGTCTGTATTGTTTTAGAAAAACTGTCCCATGACAATAAACCAAAATATATCAGTACTTGTATCTGTAAGTACTTGGACAAGTATCAGTACTTGTACTTGCAAAAATGGTGCATCACTTATATATATATATTTATAAAAACAAAATCATACATTAAAACAGAGATATACAAATCCCGGGAGCTCCGTGTGCTGCTTACAAATGACACCTGCCCCCTAACTTTTGAATTTTTCTCTAGTCTAGTCTTGGAGCTGGAAAAGTATCTGTACATGTACTTGTACCGAGTACGGTACTTGGTATCTGTGCATCCCTAATAGTTATATAGTTACATAGTCAGATTAAAAAAAGACACAAGTCCATCGAGTTCAACCTAAAGAGATAAGAGAAGAAAAACCGAAAACAGAACACTATGCCCACAGGTACCCCCACCGTTGATCCAGAGGAAGGCAAAAAAAACCCTATAAAGCATGGTTCAATTTCTCCAACGGGAAAAAATTATTTCCTGATCCCATAAGGCAATCGGATATTCCCTGGATCAACAATCTCTGGTATTTAATTTACCTATAAGAATTCAATATCCAGTAATATTCTGTGCAATCTCCAATAGACACAACAGGAAGTGAAAAGAAATCCCTCCAAAGAGAGGGAAATCCCTGGTGGTCGGCAGGGTCACCAGAGCTAGTGTCCCCATTGGAAGATTTCTCATCTATTCCTGTTCTGGTGACAACCCAAAATTTGGGATTTTCTTTCACTTTCAGTGATAACAATCACCAGCACATATACAGAGGGTAAATCTCCCTAAAGGGGACACAGACAGCAACTCCAGCCCAACAGGTGTTCTAATCTCTCTCCACTCTACCCAAAACAAAACAAAAAAGGTTTTGGCTTTAGTTGCACTTTAAGGAACTATAGTTTTCCAATAAGGAAACCTATACTATAAGAAAAATATTAGTTCTATGGCTATCATCAAGATTTGCTGGCTCCAAAATGTCAGTACCTCCGAGCAATGCAGATGAGTAGTTCTGCCTTCACTGCTTGCATGATTGATCCAGGTCAGGGTCGCAAAAGTACTGAAGGTTAAAGGGTTAAGTTGACCTTTAATGATATTTAAAAAGAAACTGTATGCATTACAGCTTGAAGTATGTGTAAGTTGAAGAACTCCAGGTTGTTGAGAAATTAACCCTTGCAGTGGTGCTACCCCTGCACTGCTAGGGTTAACTGCTTGTTTTTCTGGAGGAGCTAAAATAAAGAAAAAATATTTACCAAATTCTTGATCCCGCCTGGCTGCAAAACCGGTCCCCGCAGTCTCTTCACCCCCCGGGCTTGGGCGGTTTAAGATTATATAGTCTAATATAGTCCATTTACTTGTAATAGACGTGAGCGTGTCAGAGCAGAGGGGGAGAGAGGTGATCGGTCAATGCGGCAGGACTGAGGAGTGAAAGAGTGTATCTTTTTTATATGATACAACAGCAAAAAGTTTCCAGCACACTCACCAGCCAGCATGCAAAAAAACTTGTCTCACCGCAAAGGTTAAAAACAGAGGTTTGGATACACGTCTTCTGCAGAAAATGTGAAAGCCGCACCACCTCGCCGAGGCACCTCTTATAGTGCGGTCCTAACTCTGAACTATGAGAGTCTCCATCTTGGAGCACATGTAGCAAAATATAAAATTGGGCGCAGGTTTGTCAGGAGGAAGCCCAACCTCCCTTAAAGGCACAGGGACACACATCACAATGGCAGCTGAGACCCCCAATGCGTCACTGCACCAAATCAGTCAAGCACCTTGCTGTAAAGCTGGCGACAAGTTGATGAGTGCGTTTGCCATTTGTTTTGCTTGTCTTTTTTATATGAGACCCTAGAGAAAAACAAGCAGTTAACCCTTTCAGTGTGGAGGTAGCCCCACTGCGAGGGTTAATTTTTCTTCAACCTTGAGTTCCCTTTTAAAATTCTATCCACTTTTAAAAATGATTCTCACTTTTCTTATTGCTGCTACCTTGAGCTCCCCCTCTTCATCCCTCCTAAATGGCAAGACGGGCCGGCCGATGGATGCACGGCCCCTGCCCCTCACAAACGAGCACTCGGCTACAAGAACTCGGCGTGCTTAGCCAGACGTGTGCCGTCCTCTTCCTCTCTCACCCACAGAATGCTGAGCTCAGCCGCTGCTGCAGGGGAGAGAGAGCGGACTGCGCATATGTGTGGTATAGGCAAGCCGAGTTCTCGTTCGCGAGGAGCTGGCTCCATACATCCAATGGTCAGTCCGTCCTTCCACGTCGGTGGGACGCAGAGAGGGAAGCCCATGATCACAGCTGTAGAAAAAGTAAGAATTATTAACAGAGAACAGCATTTGAACTTATTGTATGTGGGGTTTAAAAAAAAAAATGTCATTAAAGAAGAACTCCAGGATTTGTAATAATTAGAAGAACTTCAGGGAATATTATTATTAACCCTTGCAGTGAGGCTGCCCCCGCACTGGAAGGGTTAAGTGCTCATTTTCGTCTAGGTGTTAAAATAAAAAGGTTATACTCACCCAATCCTCTGAGCTGGCTTGCTTTTCCCTGGAGCCTCTCTCCCCCTCCGCAGCAGCCTAAGGTCCCGCAAGCCATCACGTTCTATGCACAGTGTATAGAACACGAGGACGGCAAGGGACATACCATTGCTGTTAAAGCCGGCCAGCTCTGAGGATCGGGTGACTATAACTTTGTTATTTTCAGCCCTAGAGCCCCTCTGTGTATAAAACGTGATGATTTATGGGACCTTAGACCACTGCAGTGGAGGGGGGGGGGGGGGGGAAACCCCTCG